GCGTTGTGAAGTTCTCGGACTGGGATATTTCGAAGGTACGTTATATTGTATGATATTTACGTAGCAATGGGCGACATTTTATTTATTTTGTAATATTCTGAACACATGTTGCGTCATAGAATTCATCCCTTGACCGTTGTGGGCCACTGTTTGGTTTGAATTCCGACTATTGGAAGACGGACTTTCTTTCAGTTGCTGTCTAGCCTTTTTTCCAAATGTGTAAGCTACACATATTGCCTCACCTTGATTTATCTTATACAAAAGTCAGTTGATATAGATAATAGGAAGCCATCCTCACTGATATTTTAAAATCAGCAGTTAATTTTCTTTTCTGTTTGCAGAGCTGCTTAAAGTTGTGGGAGACTGAGGCATGAAGGTATACCGGAAGCCAGCGATATTTCTGTTGGTAAGCCTCGCCCAGAAAAAAAATACTTGCTTGAATCCGGCGAAGTATGGCAAATATTTGATGGACTGCACAGTGCACAATGTACCTGACATGGCAGGATCAACTTGCTCACTCGCCTGTTGTAAGTGCCGTTGCGTCAGAGCCCGTGGAAGTGCCCGATCGTGTCTCATGCAACCGTATTATTTTGTGAATGTTATTGGTGGTGACTCGAATCAGCTTTTGCACCACTCCACTATGATATTGTAATATGTATATTTTAGATATTTTGTATCGTATGCTAATAAGTAATAAACGTTATTTTTGTGTATGTTTTTTTTTTGTAACGTGGCTGGCACGCTGTCGTGGCTGTCGGAGGGGCGGCTGGGGAGAAGGGGGGGGGGGTGACGCAATTGAGCTAGTATTACTACTGGGCAGCAATAGCAGGCGCTAGCTGGTTGGGTTACCAGGCGAGTCCTGCTAAGGAGCCTGATCGGCGTACCGATCTGCTGGTTTTGCCCTCGTTTTCAAACGAGGTACCGAATAACGAAACGAGGGGCTGACACGGGGGTGCTCGGTTTATGAGGCGTGGGCTTGTCAGTTACTAACGAAACAAGCTTGTACCCTCTTACTAGCTAAATATGAGGCGATTTTTATACGTCGCTGCATGCTCATTTTTGCGCCAGCGGTTTTCCTACAAGGGGCTTGTAAGATTTTTTTACAGTGTATATTGGACCAATAATCACTATCACGAATGACTATGAACACATTATATGATCACATCGTTGCATGGATTGTCACAATGAATATTTTACTACAATCCTTTTTTCAAGAAATACAGTGATGATTAACATCAAAATCAACATAAAGTGGATATAGTGATCCAAGCTTTCTCCTCCAGTAGCAATGGAATGATCGCATGTTTCATTTGCCAGACACTGAGTACCTGATGCACATTACAATCTGCATAGCATCTAAGCATAGTAATACTGCCCAAGTCCATTCATTCTAGATTTTTAACTTGATAGTTAGCACTAATTTATCTTGCTGTTGTAAGTTATCATTCAATATTCATACCAATACATCAATATGGGGCATGCACTCATAAGTCAACATTTTCTGGCATGATCCTGCTCAGCATGCTCTTCAGTATTGCTCCAAGGTCTGCAATATTATAGCTTGTTATTGGCCAATAAGCTCTTTTAATTTTACTTTTTCTTGCTGATATATGAGCCCGATCAACTTGCGTTTCTCAACCAAAGTTTCATAACTTGTTCAACTTGATATCGATATTGATAAGTCAATCTTAAGTCAATCTTAAGGGATTCAAAACATCCAACAGAACGACGTACAAGAGTAAGAAAACCACCAGATAAACTAAAAAATGGCCTTGGAACAGAGCCAAGTGGTGCTCTGCATTTGTTTGTTTACAATGATTGTAGTGCTGATGTATTTTTAGGACTCTGAACGTCGGTTTATAAAAAATGAAACGTTTACAAAAGTTGTAATGTAAGTAATATCTATCTGAAAGAACTAAAATATTCAAAAACCAAACACTATGAAATACATGAATCGGAACGAAAAAGTAACCCAAAAATCCAGCCTAATCTTCGGCTCCTAAAACTGCAACAAAATCAGCACTTTTCCCCGCAACTCGTTGTCCAGACGTAAATATGCGGCTCTGTCCTTGTGAATCCTTCCTATCAAAAAGTTCGGACTAAATTTATAAAAAAAAAAAATAAGACGCCGAACGCGGTGGAGGCTCGCGCTCCGTTACGGAATACGGATATTGCTGCTGGCGCCGACGCCGCTCTCTGCCTAGTGCCTAGACTGTCAAAGGCCTCGCTGGGCGCCAATTAGAGGTCTGCACAAGATTCTTACAGATAAGGTTGGGACGCCAGTCACGTGACATTTTCTTTCAATTGGCACCCCATGCGAAACTTTTCCCAACCCCGTGTAGCGCTCGGACGAAAAGGAATAACCTTGGTGCCGGCGCCGTTGGCGCCGTAGAGACATTTAGGATAGATGGCATTGCATTTAGGCAATATTTATGTGGCATTACTATTAGGGTATGTTGATGTGGCTCCAGATCAAGTAAAATTAACTAATACTTTGGGGGAAAACCGTGTAAAAAGCCTACAATAGGTAAGACGCCCCATGCTGATGTATTTTGTATTGTATTGTACACTGATACTGATACTGATACTGATGCTGACGCCCTTATTTATAACACAATTGTGTCCTTGCTTTTATTAAAAAAATGCTGGCGCAAGTTTGAATAGTGCAATTCAAATTATCATTGGGATGATTTAGTAGCCAAACACGTTTTTTGCCATTTCTTCAACAATATGTCATAAAAATGACACTGATTCACTGCTCAGTTGTCTTGGATCTGAGTAGCATCAGTAAACAAGACTAGTTTATTGTTCTCCAAAAGCTGAAGCAGTTCAAAATGACTTTGATGCTTACCGATCTATTAGAAGATACAAGCATTATAAAATTCACTAAATGCCCTGGCACCGAGTTTCTCAGATGTCCATACTATTTCATAGGTATGTAAAAAAATGGCTCACATTGTAGACGTGGCTTTATTGTGATGCATTGCTGCTGATTGGGAGTAAGTAAGTACGTACCTTATACCTTCTACTATTGGTCTCAAGATAAGGGCCCAGTCGACCTGCAGTTTTGATGTGGTGAATACCCTTGCCCTCGCCACAGCTCGGGCTGAGTGTACCCCTCCTTCCACTCAGCGGCCCAGCGCCACCCCCACTCGAGTTGTGGCAAGGGCGAGGGTATTCACCACATCCATACTTAAGGTCGCCTGGGCCCTTATCTTGAGACCAATAGTACCTCGTAGGATACGAGTTGCGAGGTCTTCTTCACCTGTCTTGCTTGCTCTTTGATTGAATTTCTCTATCTTCTAGATCATCTGTGATACTGCTGATGCAATAAAATCCTAGTAATGTTGCTCAACAAGATAATGAATGTAGGGATGTATGCACTCTGTTTGCTGTTTTGGTACAAATGCCTCTCTGGTCAATGAAAGCAGGGGTTTTCTTTGCAGTTTGTTTATTTATTGTGCAAGGCAATTTTACTTCCAAATGCCAAAGCTTTTTTACAATGGTACTCAATCCAACGCTATTTTCCGAGGGCCATGTTACTGAATACTGACTAACCTAAATACTTGACTAGTAAGGCTCAAAACAATATTTAATGCATTATCTATGCAAACCAGACTCCACCAAGTTACAACCAAAGTGGGGCATCTTACCATACCTGTAATGTAAAATGTTCCATATCAGTTGAAAGTGTACTTAGATATGTCAGGATGACAACTTGTGGTGTTAAGTTCAATAAGGTTCAGTCAGTCTCCATCTCCAACGTACTACTTCCGAAAACAAAAAACAAAAAGCGAGTACCTGTGCCATTTATTGATTACTGGGCTGCAGATGTACAGTGCGCAGACGAACATTGAAAACGGCGAGCCGTCGAGCGTGGGGAACGAAGCCAGCGGCCACGTATTATGCTAAGTACTTTCCAACTACACCACTCAAACTACACCACCGTCTAGTGTCCTATGCCGACGACACCCAGCTGCTAGACTCCGCTCATCCTAACAATCTGTCCGTCCTTAAAGCCCGACAGGAGGACACCCTCCTAGCTGTCCTTTCCTACTTCACATACAATTCCTTGAAAATGAACCCATCCAAGACCACCCTGCTCCTTGTCGGCACATCCCAGAACCCTAAGGAAACCTCCTCCTTCCATCTTAACTTGCCAAACCATGTACTAACACCCTCGCCTTCTGTGAAGATGCTGGGTGTAACCCTAGATCCTACTCTTTCCTGGGAAAAGCACATCTCCAATGTTGTCAAAAAGTGCAATTCCATCCTTTTGTGTCTGTATAAAATTCGTCATCACCTCAACCCCGAAACCCTTAAACTCCTTATCCAGTGTCATGTCTTTTCACACATCCTATACTGCCTCTCAGTCTGGGGCGGGGCTGCTGCGTGCCACCTTCATCGTGTGCAGAAGGTGGTCAATTTCGGGGCGCGGGTTGTGTCGGGGGTGCGCAAGTATGACCGTGTCTCGCCGGCCCTGGCTTCGCTGGGCTGGTGCGGCGTCCACGAACTGGTGGCGCGGCGTGACAGCGTCGGCGTCTACAGGGCGTTGAGAGACCCGCGCGCCCCCGCCGCAGTCCGCTCTCTGTTCACCTCACGTGCTGCCGTCTCTAGGCGCACTACCCGGTCGACGGAGGCGGGCGCTCTTGAGCTGCCCGCCTTTCGCTTGTCATCGTCACGCCGGGTTTTCTCGTACCGGGCAGCCTCGTCCTGGAACCGCCTGTCGCCGGCCGTCACTGGCTCTGGGACCCGCGCCGAATTTCTGCGTCGGCTTTAGCTGCATTGTGTGACGATGGTCGGCAACTGTACATATACTGTATTTTAAGTGATTTTTATTTCATGATGTGCTCCTGTTTTATCCTTGTGCCCTTATGTATTCTGACTCGGACCAAACAGTAAGCCAGCACTTGGAATTGTCCGTAAATACATTGAACTTGAAGTTATTTGGCTAGGTCATAATGATAAAATGCAATTCATATCAGAGCAAACTCCAGGCGTAGTTTATATAGCTGTTAAGCATAACTCGTTTTTTTATTTGACACCCTTTAATAGTACAGCATGTGGTTTGGCACGTTCACACCACAAAGTCATCAACAAAGCAAACCAGACTTGGCACACTGGAGAACAAATTAGGCTCAACGAGGATTCGCCTCGTGACCGATTACAGAAATAATCATTGAAAGAAACCTGGCTATCAAAGCGATATCGTGTGGAAACGTTGGAGTCGGCCCACCCGGAATCTCGGCTCCCCGACGAGGACGCAGGGCGACTCCCGGCAGCTCTTGTACCAACGCCAAGCGAGGTCGGAGCCAGTCGCGAAGTGGGCGCGCCGTCGGACAAGATGAGGGCCCGCGCGCACCGTTTGGACGACGGCCGATAACCTGCCACAGGGGGGGGGGGGGTCGTACATGTATGTTAGTGAGTGGTGAAGAAAAGAGCAGAAATGAATAACGTGTACTCTTAACAATTGATCACAAATGTAGTCACTATGATGAGCCATCAAGAGCCATACGAAAGCGCCACGCCGACGTTCACATTCCGGAAATGAGTATACGCAAAGCGAAATACATTTGCAACTACACATGCGTTATACACGTCATATAAAAAGTAACATCAGCTCCAGATCGACTCACCCCCGTCATCTCGCAGCTTGGCATCTGCGACACCAGCTCCGGGTGGGTTGCAGTACGGCCGGGTGCAGCGGCGTGCGACCGTCACGGCAGGGCGGCCGCCAGCCCTGCAGTACGGCCAGGTACAGCGGCGTGCGACCGTCACGGCAGGGCGGCCGCCAGCTCCGGGTGGGCTGCAGTACGGCCAGGTACAGCGGCGTGCGACCGTCACGGCAGGGCGGCCGCCAGCTCCGGGTGGGCGTGCGCCGTGGAACGTCGTAGGCCGTTCTGCAGGACAAAACGATCGACTGTCAGCTGTGAAGGCTGACGAGCCGAGAATGGAAGGCATGTGAGGCAACTATTCGTTAAAGGAAGGGTGCCACCTTCCGAAATTTTTGTTCTATGAATCTATTTTACTTATTTGAATTTTTAGACGTGGTTAGCGCGTCCACAATATACAAAAAACCGAAACATTGCATTTAATACATTGGCCAAAAAAAATATCGTTGTTTATATCACCACTACAACTCAAGGTCGTTTGATGTGGCAGCTAGGACGGCTGGCATATCCTGTTGTCATGGCAACATATCATTCTGCCATTTGCATTGATGGCGCAACTGAGACAAAAAGATGAACAAATAAAAAGGAAGAAGATAACATGATTTGAACTAAGTTGTAGTAAGTAAGTTGAACTAAGTAAGATACGTCAAAAGAACATCAAATAAGTCGAGTAAAGGTTTTTCCTTTACAATGCTTAAGAGATCTATGGAACCCTTCACCCTTCATGCAACTTACTAGAAAAACTTCCCAATTAAAATTTTAAAACTTAAGTGTATACCATAAAGAAAAAATATACCCTTTCAAAATGATAAAACATGCTTCAAAAGTATAACTTTTATACATACCTTTGCTGATTTCATGTTTTATAAAATACCCTTAACACGACGAGGAAATAGTGCTGAAGATTTTTGCCTGCCCGAATGCTGGCAGCAAAACTCGCAAATGATAACTTCACGTGCGGATTCAATGCTGACCGTCTCGAGCATAGGTAAGTGAAGCCGGTTTTTAGGTTCATGTGAGGCTAATCTTGTAAAAACTGCGTTATGTCCAAAAGGTGGCACCCTTCCTTTAAATGTTGACACCAAACATGACAAAACAGCGCAAAGGGCCGTTCCCAGCCGTAGTATAGCTGTTAAGCATCACTTGTTTTTGATTTGACTCTCAAGTTGAATAGGTATCTAATGCAGCATGTGGTTTGGCACATCAACATCACAAAGTCATCAATAAAGGAAACCAGACTTAACAGACTGGAGAACAAATTAGGCTCAACGAGGATTCGCCTCGTGACCGATTACAGAAATCAGGGCACTAAAGAGTCGGGTACTCCAAAGTTTTTCCTAGTATATACTAGAATTATACTATATCATCTAGAAAAACAACTAGAACTGGGAGCTTTTTACTATATACCGAAAATTATCCTAAGATATGGCTGCGCTGAAGCGCGGCGCAGCTGGCGCTCGTGTTTCAATACATTGCGCTTCATATTTATACACAAGACTTACAAATTGTGCTGGCTAAGTATTTAATAACTATCGTGTGCATTAAAAAATTGGCTCTTCATTATGCATGGAATTGTTTGAACAAAGGCCTTTCTGAGTAACTGTGTGCAAATTTGCAAACTGCTGTACTTGACTGGGTGGTGGGCCAGCCTCATGCTTTCTCATTCTTTCACTGTTGCGTAACAATGTTTTAAAAAAGAAGTTTCAAGGAATTTTATCAATTGTGATGCATGGTGACACCTTTCGACTTAGCTGTGAGCATATTTGGTATAATCGTATTGCAAAGATTGCGTACACCGGCTTTATCTGTTTGCAATGGCAGCTTTCGTACGACATTTGTGTATTGTCTTTTCTATGTTGGTCACTACTCGTTTGTATGAATTTTTAGAGCCCTGACAGGCTGATGAAGGAAGACTGAAGTCTTCTGAAAGCTATCATTACTAAGAAATGAAGCTGGTGTTATGACTTATGAACAGTGAACAGTGTCCCAAAATTTTATTTCAGTGTGAAAAATTGTTCTTGAAAATTGGAGATGAAAGTGGAAAATTGATTTCAGTTGGATGTCATTTCCCACCCAAAAACTGGCAAATTTTGGGACATTGGTTTTGAACAAACTTAACAATACAATATCACTGTCCCAGGCTCTCGCTGAATAACATCAACATATAACATAATGCTTTGTGTAAGCATCTCGTACAACTGTGTTGCTTTGATAATGAAATCAAAACACATGCATCCTGCATCCATGAAAGTGGATAGTAAGTAGAAAGAAGCATTTGTTGCCACATGTAAGTGATAATTGTGCAATTTCCTGGTAATTTTAGTTTGTATGAAAATGCTTAAGATTTAGGTGATTGAAACTAAACATGGAAAATAATTTTTAGGTCAATTTTTACTTTTTCTTTTTTAATGTTGTTCTTGATATTCCACTTCACTCAAAACACACCAGTTCATAAGTTATTTCAGGGCTTTCACAATAGCCATGTCTTTGTGGTCAATCATCCTCAGAGCAGCCTGAGTCAATTCCATTCATAACTTCCTTAGCCATATATCTCTGATCCTTTTTCAGGACAAGACATGCACTACTACATGTACGCTGTGCCTGGCTCAAGATTCCTATATGTAGCCAGGCTGCCCTACCGAGCGCGATACAATGAACTGAACTGAAGTGAACTGAACCGACACTGGCAAAATGAATGCTTCCTTGAACAAAGCTAACCAAAGGTGCCATCAACTGTCTTAATCTGAACAGGAAGGAAGCCTAGTTTTCAACATAGACAACAGCTTGTGTGAAGCTGTCACTTTCAGGGTGTGCACCACCCAGTGTTCATTTGTTAACATCAATAATGTGTGACCACGAAAGGAAACCCTTCTGAAGGTAACATCTCTCGACCATTCTAAGATCCTGTTAACAATCCACTACCTTAATATCAACAGGTCTTTTAAATAACCATGCATTAACTATTCCTCTGATAATGCTTGTTATGTTTTCAAATAGGTTCATGTTCTTTCATCCTGATTTTTCAAAGATAAGTATCACTTGAGTTTGTTTTTATTGCAAGTGTGATGCATGTAATTTCATCTTCATGTTTTCTCAGATCGAAGATCCTGCTCGCAGCTATGCCTCATTGCCTACCATGGCCTCATTGCCTCTTTGAGGTTTACCGTAGTGTTCTCCGTCTGATTGTGATGTGTTGAGGATGAGCTGAATGTTACTGATATTGATACCTGATATCTAATTGTGGTCAATGTTTTGTAATACCGTGACATTTTCCAATGCCAAAGTTTATTTCCAACGAGCCAAAGCTTATTTGCATTGCACTTACGAGCGGTAGTGTGATGTGTAGAACGTATAGTAAGTAGGTACGATTGGGAACCACTTACTCTGTAACCCAAAGTGGCATGTTTGCATATATGAGAATGTTCAGTGTTCATCGTCTTTAGATAATAAAAGCATTGGCATACCAGGAAGTGGATTGTTCGGTAGTCGCCTAAAATGGTATCACAGCTGCAATTTTGACACCATCGTGTTCGTGATGCTTAGCCACGTCGAATGATATGCTTTTTCTATGGGTGAGGTCAATTTAGGATGTTGACCTCCGTCCAATGTCAGGTCAGGTCATTACCTCATGATGAGGTCAAGTTGCACGTTATTCAATTCGGAAGGTCTTTCTGAGTCTATTTGTGTCTTTTCCGTCTAAGATCACTGTCAGCGCCAAAATAACTGTCTCTATATCCCCCCCCCCCCATCGGCTTATAACCCGCGCACCGACGGGGGTCTGCGCCAACTTAGTACCGACGGGGGGGGGGGCGGATGACCGCCCCCCCCTGAGATCTCGAGAACGAAGCAAGATAGCGACAAGCGGTAAACGGCATCGGATACGCACGGACAAGGTCTACAATTTTTACTAAGGTCATTTTCAGGTCAGGTCAAAGATGACGTCACAGGGGTCGAAAAAGTCAAAATGGCGGCGCTAGATATGGAGAGGGTTTTTCTCGAATAACTTTCGAAGTAGTCGAGATAGGAACAAACTAAGGGCATCATCGTGATCCTCTCGTCAATCCGCATCGAATGATATATATGTTGACCTCGAAAGGTCAAGGTCAAAGGTTGACCTCAGGTCACGTGACCTCGAGGTCATCATGTATATCATTCGATGCGTCTTGACGAGCTGAACACAATGAGACCATCCGCGCGGCTGTATCTTGTTCCTGTAAGGAGTTATTGGCAAAAAACCTTTGGTGACCTTTGATGACGTCACATGACCTTACAGCTGCCCAACAGCAAAACAGACCTCAAGGTAGTGAAGGTTGATCGTATGTGAAGTCATGTATGGTATATGGGGCCATTCCGACCCGTTTTAGTGGTAAAAACAGGGAGTTGATTTTTCCCCCATTGACTTATAATGGGGAGGTCGCGAAATTGACCTGACCTTAGGTCACCGACATCAAAATTCCGAGATATACAAATTGTAGCTACTAATGACCTTATAACATCCTGCGACTTTCAAAGGCCTCCGACATCTACTGTAGCTCTGGCACGGTGACAAAGTTGCAAAAAAGTGACTTGAGGTTGGGTCATTCAAAGTGACCTGGTGACCTGACCTTAAAAGTTAGGAGGTTCAAACTTGCACACCATGTGTAAAATTGATGAGAGAATAGTCATACCAAATTTCGCGGCGCTACGCGCCGCGGTTTTCCCGCTATCCGCGAAAAACCTCAGGGGGGGGCGGATATCCGCCCCCCCCCCGTCGGTGCGCGGGATAATGGCCAGAGCACCTGACCGACCTGACGTTAGGTGACCCTTAGGAGAAATCCGAAGTTAACGCTTTTGAGAATAAGGGAGTTTGATAAGTTCTGTAAGTTTCATCTACCTGCGATAGATCTCCTTGAATTGATGGAGTTGCTATGTTACGACGTTTTCTAGACCGTGCAGAGGTTCACTTATGACGTCATAGGTCAGTGACCTGACCTGACCTGAAAATGAGGTTGGTGCCACAAAATCCGGCTTGAATCAAAGGTCAGGTATACCAACTTACAACCCTCCATCACCAGCGCGCTCACCCCTACTTTACTTTGCAGCAATGGTTTGCCGCACATTAACGATAAAAGTTTTGATCTGTCCGAGATTCGAACACAGGACCTTCCGATGTATCAAAAACATGGGGTCATATATAGACGAATATCTCGAAAACGGTTGGATGGGCTTGAACTTTTCGTCCCAAAAATGGAAATAAAAATGTTGTAGCTATCTTTTGACATACTTTGTGTGCGGATGCCCACACTACGAAACCTTGAAAATCGAGCGCGAAAAGTCGCATTTTAACACGCAACCCTATGGGCTAGTAGGAAAAGTCACGCCCATGCTGCCATATGACTTTGGAGGGGGCTGACAGAAATAATCATTGAAAAGACAGCAAACGATACGGTTAAAACTCTATGCATCGGTCTGGTCCCAACTCGATTATCAGTAATCGGACCGACCACAAGCAATAGGTACGCAATAAAGACGTTCTGAATCACATGGAAAATAGCAGGTTTCTATACAAGCTGTTCCCTTCACAAATCCAAACCAGACCTGGCTATCAAAGCGATATCGTGTGGAAACGTTGGAGTCGGCCCGCCCGGAATCTCGGCTCCCCGACGAGGACGCAGGGCGACTCCCGGCAGCTCTTGTACCAACGCCAAGCGAGGTCGGAGCCAGTCGCGAAGTGGGTGCGCCGTCGGACAAGATGAGGGCCCGCGCGCACCGTTTGGACGACGGCCGATAACCTGCCACAGGGGGGAGGGGGGGAGGGGTCGTACATGTATGTTAGTGAGTGGTGAAGAAAAGAGCAAAAATGAATAACGTGTACTCTTAACAATTGATCACAAATGTAGTCACTATGATGAGCCATCAAGAGCCATACGAAAGCGTCACGCCGACGTTCACATTCCGGAAATGAGTATACGCAAAGCGAAATACATTTGCAACTACACATACGTTATACACGTCATATAAAAAGTAACATTATCAGCTCCAGATCGACTCACCCCCGTCATCTCGCAGCTTGGCATCTGCGACACCAGCTCCGGGTGGGTTGCAGTACGGCCGGGTGCAGCGGCGTGCGACCGTCACGGCAGGGCGGCCGCCAGCCCTGCAGTACGGCCAGGTACAGCGGCGTGCGACCGTCACGGCAGGGCGGCCGCCAGCTCCGGGTGGGCTGCAGTACGGCCAGGTACAGCGGCGTGCGACCGTCACGGCAGGGTGACCGCCAGCCCTGCAGTACGGCCAGGTACAGCGGCGTGCGACCGTCACGGCAGGGCGGCCGCCAGCTCCGGGTGGGCTGCAGTACGGCCAGGTACAGCGGCGTGCGACCGTCACGGCAGGGTGGCCGCCAGCCCTGCAGTACGGCCAGGTACAACGGCGTGCGACCGTCACGGCAGGGCGGCCGCCAGCCCCAGGTGGGCTGCAGTACGGCCAGGTACAGCGACCGGCAAGAGCGTCGCACAGCCCAACGTCAGGAAACGTCAGCAGCAATGAAGCCGCTCACAGGTGGGATGCTCCGCGTGCAAACTGCTTAGCTTTCAAGAAGCGTCGCTTAGTCGCCACCACAGGCTTCGAGGATGTAGATGGCTTCTGAGCCTGACGGGCCGCCAGCATCTGAATGTGGTCGTTCCGTCGGAGTCCCGCCGCATGTCGCAGTCGAATGAAGGTTCGCAGTCGTGAATACAGGGTGATGACGCGAAGGTCAAGCCGTGGCCACTTGAAGCTGAGCAAGTAGCAAGTAGCAACATAATGAGTATTGTGATACATCTGAGATCTGATGAAATGATTGAAGTCATGAATTTCCATTTCAGACTGACCAAGGATCATCTAAACTTGATGCAATTTCGAAACTGACAAACGTAAGACAATATGTGCATGAACATGAGAGGAATTTAAAAATTTGAAGCTCATTTAATGTTAAGCTGTTTGGATTAAATTATTAGCATTCAATTTGACCTTCACCTTAGCATTACCATTATTGAATTATTCTAGTTTACAAGTGATGAGTATGAGGCTAGTTACAACAACAAGATTACCTTCTCTTGAAGTCATTCCAAGCAAATAGGGTTGGACCAGCTTCTTTCTTGCCATTCCTAAAATGACAAGAGCACACTCTTGAATGCTCATTGGGCTTTGCATCTTGTCTCCTGTGAAAAAGCAAAGCAATAAAGTTGGTTCTATTAGCAGAAAATGAATCAGACAGCATGGCCCTGCTTCACGGCAAGCCGTAGTTACCTACTCAACGCAGCTGGGCATTGGTGCTCATTTTCAAAAGAATTTAGAAATGTCAGTGAAATATCTAAACAATTTTGCCAGCATTTCCATTTGGACAGAATTTTGTCAGCATTTCCATTTGAACCTGAATGTGTTATGTGGGTAGCAGCGTGCAGTGAAACAGGGCCCTGCTCAGCAATGCTAAGCAAAGGGTGGAAACAAACAGTTGAAAATGAAAAGACGAACGAGCTAGAGCAGCATCTCCACACCAGCAGACTTCCTACATCAACCAATCTACAAATACACACCAGCAAGCACCAAGCAAAATCAGCAATTTTTACAACCAAATGTACCTACCTAGAGATTTGGGTAGGTACAAGTGGAGCAGACGTCACACGAAGGTTTTCCAGCTAAGGAGAGGCGCTATACCCGGAGATGCTTCTTTCTAACCTAAACGCCGGTGGTGGTAGCGCCTTCACCCACTGTTCTGGAGGCACCACCGAGATCCGAACTCAGGATCTCCTGTTTACCGGAAAACAAACATAACCTAACCTGGCCTAACCTACAAACCTACAGCGCCTATCTTTGGTTGGAAGGCCTTTGCGTGACGTCTGCTCTACTAATGCCAAAATTTGTACTTTTGGTAAGATTAACTGCAACAAAAGGTATTGTACCATTTGAGAAACAAAGAAACGTGCCGACTGAAAAATATGGATACAAAGAATTGCAGGGACAAACATTTTCCCGACAAGTAATTGCGCAATGAAGAAATAGGTAAGGTACTTAAAAAAAATTGTCCTGAAATCACCTAGAAGTTACCCAAGCAGGTACTTAGCAAAATGGTGTGAGCCTGTGACGGTTGCATATCTAAAAAGTCATAAAAGCAGCAATATCACGATAATAAACAAAAGGAGATATCACAATGTCGCATGACGAACCTCATCAGTGTAGTCCATTTCTTCAACTCCCCCTCGTCCCGGGGCAATCGGAAGAAGGAGCACTTGGACTGGGACCTGGCGCTGGAATGACTGCATTGAGGCACAAAACAAAAAGGCATATTTGCTCCTTAGATGTAAGACTGAATCATCTCCGAGATTATTCGCCCCAACAGCACTCAAACTCGATGAAAAAAAGCGGGAAAAGCCAAAAGGGCGACTCAATGCACATTCCTTATTAGCTGTTCAAAGTGCACTTTCATAAAGATACGGAATGCGCTGATTGGCTTCAACGTGATGCGCTAACGTCACTCAGCGTGAAAAAGCAGCCGTAAGCGGTTTTTCGAATATATATCGAATAAATGTATTGTTTGCGCAGTATTTGTAACAACAAAAACTGAGGCTCCTTCTTGCCCTTGGAATGTGCCATCGTTCGAGTGGTGCATCAAAAATTATTTTTGTTTTTATGGGATGAATACGTAGTTCTGTTCATCCTTCTATGAGATAGGGAAGAAAATTAGATGTCCCCGGCAGTAAAATGAAGATTTTTGGCACCTTGCAACACCCTGACAAAAATCCATAGGATTTACATAATGTTTTAGAAGAAGAAAAAATCGTTGAACCTCACCGCCATTTTCTGGTCACGTGATGTCACCCACCTGGGTCTGCACCGGCCGGCTGCAGCCGCGGCTGGCTGCATCCCCACGGCTATGGGGCGGGGCGGCTGCAAATATTTCCAAGAGCACGGCTACGGCTGTGGCCACAGCTGTGAGATTTCAAGCTCAATCTTAAATACTGAAATATGAAACATTAAATGCTTAAACTTACATTCTGACAAGCAGTCTAACCTGTGAAAATAATGCCAAAGGATGCCCAGCAATAATGGAAGTGGTGAAGCCTATTGCTATGCAAACCTGGAAGTTGAAATGGTTTTATCATTTGCAATCATAAATAAGGGAACTTGCGCACCTGGTACAAATGACTGTACCTATATCAATTGTTCCTTCCAGCATCATCAGCTTGACAACTTCAGAAAATGCACCAATGTCGCATTCATGTCCCTTTCAAATCAATCTTACCTGGTCATTAGCAAGGCTCTATATATTAGGTAGGGTCGTCCGGCGATTCTACCTGATCGTGACGTCAGCTAGTGACGTCATCTGGGGGCAAGTCTTGAAGTCCCGTTTAAGTCCTATGCAAATGGGCGATTTTTGAAGCGCTGTAGAACAAACTCTGCTAAAGCTAGCACAAAACGTAAGTGCATCATCGGAAAGCCGAGACATTTTTCTTCCAATCATCTAAGAAGCGTTTTTCACTATACCCATTAGTTTATCCAAAAATGCGTAAAAAAGCCCCCACGCCTCCGCAGCTTCCCTTCCGCCGGCCGCCACGCCGCCGCGGTAGGGTAGTGGTTAGGATGCTTGCGCCGTAATCCAAAGATCGTGCGTTCGAATCTAGGCGCGGGCCGTACTTAAATCGAAATTGCAAGCAGAATATTTGTTTTTTCTTGATAAATCACTTATATAACAGCTAACCGATCATAACCATATCGATACCAATTGACTGAAACCAAAAATATAGAATACATTCTAATAAAACAAATTCAAATATGGCGGTCGTTGCGCCAGGCTCCGCCCCCGACTCCGCCCCTTCGTGTGACATCTTCTGTGCACTTGGACACACAGGGAGACAGGGGACGACATGGGCCTGCGTCATTAGGAGAGCACCTTACAGCTATTAAAGACAGGCGTTCCGTAGTTCTTTCAGGAAATTCAAAAGAGAAATGACAGGTAGATCTTCATAAAATGTTATCTAAATGAAGTTTGATTGGATGTTTTCCTGGTCTGGAGATTTTCGGCAAGTCCATTAAAGGGACCCTCCCACCTTCAAAAAAGTTAATGAATTGGCACGAAAGTGATGTCGCTCGGTTCAGAAAGAGCGAAAACGAATATCTACCAAATTTCATCGAAAAATATTCACCGGTTTTCAAGATATTAGACTTTTACTTTTGTTTACTTTTGGGATCTCCGCTGTTCCTAGCGACTTTATTTGAAAGTGCGGCATTTGTTGCGCGCAAAGCAGCATATACCACCGCGTGCTACCAAACGTTTTAGTAAAAGATTTAAAAATCGTTAGATCTCCGCTGACGTCACAAATTCTAAGGGGGCATACCAATGCACTAGCCCCTTAGAATCCGAAAACTGCAAGTTTGAAATTCCATATCTCCGAATTAAAGCATTTGTCGATGTTGTGAGTGCCCAAACCGGTATTTGCAAGCCATGGCCACCAATTTGGCTATCTCAACTCAAAACTAATGTTAAGGTGGGAGTGTCCCTTTAATATAATGTAAAATTGGCGCTTATATGTGCTAATTGTTATGTGAGTGAACGCTACTGCAGAAAATGCTGATCAATGAAGCCAATGGAATTACATTATTGGGCATCGTAAACCTTGCTCACTGTTCATGCACATGACGTTGAAAACACTGAACACAATGTTTCTTACGCGAGTTGTTGGTTTTGCTGATAAAATGACGTCTTTAGCTGAAAATATTATTTTTCTTATAATAAATATTCGTTTGAGTATGACAAATATTTGAATTACCCTATTTATATTTTATCATCATTTTGAAGTCTACTTTTTGTTGACGTCATTGCAAATTCCATTAAAGGGACTATCCCACCTTTAACATGGGGTTTGAGTTGAGATAGCCAAGTTTGCGGCGAGGTTCAGAAACCACTATCTATCTAGGTTGCAACCCCCGCGGCCTCTTGGTGTTGAAGAAATTCGTTCCCTTCATTTGAAAATGGGCCTTGTACAAGGCCCTATCTTCAACATGGAGCGACCGTTAGTGTGACGTCACCTCGTTTAGTCATTCTGATTTAAATGGGTTTGTTCGTTGAAAAATCGCTTAAAACTTGGTCTGAACTTTGTTGTGGTGCCTACAGAGTAAAAAGAATCAGCTTTATGACAGTAATGTGGCCTGGGGAAGGAGGTAATTTTGGGCTGTGACGTCACATATTTGAAAGTTTGTGTTTGGAATATGGGAAGCCTAAGATGTTTAATGAAAAATAAATGCCAGAACCGTGTTCCTGGTCATCCAATCTATAAAGTCGGGCACAATTTAACTGGTTTTAACAACATTTCAGAAGGTGGGATAGTCCCTTTAACCCTCGCACGACCAGGCCATTTCTCATAACACGAACGACCGGGGGGGGGGGGGGTTGTTACGACCCCCCCTGGCGTTTCGAAACGGAAGGTCGTAGAGCTTAGCGGAAAAAACCAACGGATTGCTCTCAACGAGATCTCGCGATTGGTGGTATATTTTTTGGTCCTAGGTCAACATTTGACCTACTTTTGACCGGTCAAAGGTCAAATTTTCGGAAAAATAGACTTTTTCAACTTTCGGCGGCGATTGCGGCAAAACGGTGGGAGATATCGACTTGAAACCTTCACTATCGTGTTCCTTGATCAATTCTCTATCGTTTGGTATGTATTTCGTTTCCCTAGCTCTAAAAATGGCGCGTTGGGAGCGCCGGAAGTCGGCAAGGTCACAGTCGGCGGCAGAAATTCGAAAAATCAAAATTTAAATTTTTGAAATCTGATTGTATTTTTGGATTTGGGAGGTCCATTTGCTCCCTATAGAAGCTAATATTGCTGCATATTCCCATTGAGGTGACAAGAATTAGCAAAATAGTGGTTCGGGCGCTTTTCAAAAATAGTACCGGACGCTGTTCCTCTTGTGACGTCATAGCTCCGTGACCTGACCTGACCCGGTCAAATTTCTTATACCATATGATAGCCAATACTTGCCCCAACATGCATGGGAAGTTTCATCACGATCCATCAACCGATGTCCGTACCACCGGCAGGAAACCTCGGGCGTTGGCACTCAGTTTGTGAAAATCCGGCCGGAGGCTGTACCTCTTATGACGTCATAACTCCGTGACCTGACATGACCCGATCAATTTTTTTTGGCAAAAGATGCGCAAAGGTTGCCCCAGAGGGTATTGAAAATTTCAGCCCGCTACGACAAGCCGTTTAGCGTGCACTTCGAAAAAACCTCAGGGGGGGGGGGGGGTTGATACAACCCCCCCCCCCCTAGGCGTTCTAGGGTTAATCATTAAGATTGAAAGAGGCAATTGTGGCAACTGGGGTGAGACTAAATGCTTACTTCGAAATCTAAGCTGCGTTGCGGCATTGGCGGTTATGTGCGGCGTGTATGCCGCATGATTAGTAAGCGGCGACCACTAAATTAAAAACTGAATAGCTTTGACCTGTTTTCAATGGATAACACTGCATACCAAAAATGTCCATCGCTCTCGTCATAGGATATTTAGATTTAAATAACCAACTTATCTACATCATCGTTTTGAACCAAATTAATACTTTCAACTTGACCCTCGCCCGTATTGGTGTTTTTCCAGCCGCGAACGTATAAGGTGCGTATAAGGTATAACCCTTTGCCGTTTCGCTCCTGATCAAGCTAGAGCTTCGCGGAAAAAACGAGCGTGTTGCCCGTGACGAGAGGAAGCCGATGATACCCAATTTTAAGGTCCTAGGTCATCGGTTGACCTTCCAGGCCAGGTCAATGACCCAAAAGGCGGGAAAATTGGGACCTGTTAGAACGTCGTAGTGTGGCTGCCATGGGGTTTTCCGGGGTGCTGATCACGAATATCGAGTAAGTTTTGATCGGAGATGATGTCTTTAAGCATTTAGACCAGCATCGGGTCAGGTCAGGTCAGGTCAACCGGTAGGGGTCGTGATGGGTATTCGTAACCTACGTGTCAACCGCTTCTGCAGCTTCGTAACATGTTACGAATGCACCAAAACTACTTCGTAAATGTTCAAATGGTTGCTAAACTCGAAATCAGCTCTAAAAACTAGCCTAAAAACATGTAAAACTCGAAAAAGTGAACCGAGGTCACCAAAGGTCAATGACCTGACCTGACCTTCAGGTGGCCTTGACATCCACCCTTATGCATGGGAGCAACATCAAATCACATGTTTGAACGTTTGAAACCACGAAAAGCTTGCAAACACGCGGCTAATGCGAGCCGACATACGCCGAATCGCGATTCCGGCCAAACATGGTCTCGGAAAGTAGGTCACATGTCAAAGGTCATTTGGGTCAGGGTCATGAAATTTTCAGGGTGGGTGTTAAATTGATCAATGCGAGGGTACTGAAAGT